ATATGACCTACTTGCTAATAAGCTTGGGTCAGAGATGAAATGCAGGACTGAAGTAATTCTGCATGCGATGACTTGGGATGAGGTCGTAACGAATTTTCACAAACGCTATGCGAAGGAGATTAGTATATCAGACCATGTCGAGGCATACATCCAATCGATAGTTCCCAAGAAGACGCTCCAAAGCATCTCCTCCGACAATCGATATGGATTCCACGAGGACGATGAGTACAACAAATCTGAGCGCGGGACAAGTACTGCCAGAGTGCCACAATGCGATCCAGCGCCAGAACCAATAAAGCGAAAATTAAAACTAACTTCCACACTTTATTTATTTATATACAAACATATGTACTAATAAACCTAAGATGTTTCACTTTGAGATATTTCAATAAGTAAGAAAAGTAAACAATTAAAACATACCCTAATGAGTCCACGTCCCTTCTTACAATATGCAACAGCCGTGGCAGTTTTTTTTCTTCCAAAAACTTGCACCGAATGCGTAATAGGCATAACTAGACACTGCAACAATATTACGGGTAAAAAAAAATGCTAATTTTATATAGAAAATGACAAAACATAAACATATTACTGCTCAGACCATATATACCATACAGAAAGCTGGCAAAACAGTCTTAGCTAAGCGCTATGAAATTATAGAATAATCAACACTACAGATTATTAATATTTCATCTTATATATCATGAATCATCAATGCTATCAAAGTTCCAAATATAATTTTTGTAAAATTTTGGTCACATATATAGCTAATTGTTTTATGGAATACTTGATATACTAGCATCTAACTTTCAGCAATTTTAATCTTTATTGAATCTAAAAACATATAGAAGATTTAGACTTTTATCACTTTAAGTTTAATAAGCATATTGCAATCAATTAGTTTAAGACTGTAATGAATCCTACAATTAAATACATTAAATAAAGATTTTATAAAAAAGTGCATCATTGCAAAAATGAACATTTACATAAACTTGTGTTCAAAAACAATCGCTATCAGGGAGTTTTTATATATAATATGAAAGACAATATGATAGTAGAACATCTAGAAAAAGGATAAAATAAAATAATGCCACGCAAAAATAACTGTGATGCTAACAATTTCATTTACAATCCATACGTATGGGTTCAAGAACTTCACACAAACTTTTAATCTCCATCAAACGGACTATTTGACGCAAGTCATGAATATGCATGACTGCTCATGCAAAAAAAGTCTAGATCACCATCCTTCCAACACACCTTACCACTACTCTTACTAAAAAACATCTCTTACGAAGCCTATGAACAATGAACAACTTGGCTTTCAACAGTGCGTCACCTTTAGAAATCACTCATGTAAAACAGCACAAAATTGCAATGAACCCCACCACCACTATATTACATGTAATTACACAGTTTGATAAATTTCACATCACGCTCTGGTACAGTCTGTAGGCATATCATTTTAACGGTGACTGTATACCGAGTTATGCTTCAACCACATATGAATGCAAGGACACGAAGCATAAATGCAAGGTTGGGTAGCAATTTCACAATTTGGAACCATGATGAGGAAATTGTCATAATTTCCCAGAGATGTAAAGTGATTCTTTCATCCGTGTAGAAGTGTAGAAGGTCAATGAAAAAAAGTGTTTATCGAATTCCTCATGAAGCAGATAAACGTTTATACAGTTACGTATGATTATTTACACGAACCTGGGACAGATGAGATAAGACAGTATGTCAAATTAAACGGCATCAGAGACAAAAGTAATTAACAATCTATAGAGATCAATATCGTACCAATCAGCAAGAGCACGATACGTATAAACGAAACACGTATGAGCTCTAAACATGAATGAACTATTTGTATTTGAATCTGAGCAGCGAAAAAGTGGAAACAGTCCATTAAAGATATAAGATTAAAGATGCAGGTCCCAAAATTTTTTATAACTGGAAACAGTAAAACTGAAAAAACAGTGGTAACAAAACTTGTCACTGTACAGATGAATTTCAATAAATAAAAATTCAGTTGAAAAGTGATGTAAAGTAATAACTTGTTTAAAATAAAAAAAATTCACATTCTCTATACTACATCTTGCTTTTGAAAGATGCAAGAATAACATTTGGAAACATGCAGAAACAACCCATATTAGAAATTTATATGTACAGTTTGTGAAGCAAATAGATTACATAATCAAAAAAGAAAACTTCCATTCTTTAAAAAAAACGAAATTTTGATTAATCTCAATTCGATAAGTCCTTTTGTTACTTTTCAATCCCTACGAGTAAACGCGGAATAAAAGAATACATCTTTTAGAAAATTATGGAACCAATAATCATTAAAAATCACATAGCAAAATCAAAATGGAGGGCTATAACAAAAAACTCATATGAAATTAGCATTATCATCCATAGGGAAATGATCATTGCGAAATTCAAAACCATCGTTAAATACATTTCTTAATCCTATAAATTGAAAGTGAGGAAGAAAGCGCGGAACTTCATTCTCCATTACCCCAGGCATCAACCAAAGTGCTTCCTCCTCTGCCTCGAAACGGTTTCCGGGATTCAACTAAAAATTCTACAATTCTAGTGGCCACATTTAAATTTAAAGTTCGAATCAGACGATATGATCACCTAGATTCCAAAATGTTATTAACAGAATTGAAATGAGATTGTTTAGAAAAAAAAGAAACTTAAGACCATCCTGCAAAATATTGCACGGACCCATATATGTAAATGAATCATAATGAAAATATTTATATATCCATTTCAGAACAGTATTTTCAAGAAATACTAAAAAATTACCAAACGTTCCATTTCATCTCTATCGAAAAATCCAGCATTTAACGGATCATTCTGTATTTCTGCAATCAGTTCGTTAATATCAGCTCCTGATCCGCCATGTTCTGCACTCATATGAGAGTAAATTGTACTGCTTTCATCAGCCTGAACATGTGAAGTTGTGCATCAATGAAAAAGATTAATAAAAAAATAGCAAAAGAAAAAGATACTATGTCTTACCGAAAACATACAAATCCAACAAAAATGTATTTTGCAATGTGCGCACTGCATATGATTACAACCTCCAAATTTCTCGATCCCGCTTCGACATCCTGGATTTGGACAGATCCGTCGCTGATTTTGATCATCCCTAAATTATGAAAAAGCTTTAAATGCAAAATAAAGAAGCAATATATTCTGCAAGTTTCATGACTTCATCAATGATCAAAAAATAATGAAAACTAGACAAATTAATTTCGTTATTCAAATTACTGCATTGCCATATAGGTGAAAAGTTCGAA